AAAGTTCAACTGATGAACTTCACCTGTTCCCCTCCGAGCCCGTGTGTCAAACAAGGGGTCCTGCTTTGCTCCGTAGCATCATTTATAAAGCAGATGAAAGGGAGTGATGTTTCTCCCTCCTTAAATGCTGATGAGAATGGAAAGTATGAAGAAACGATGCAGTTTTCTGGAATACTTAAGGAAAAATGTTGTGTCATGTGGTTTTTATTTTTTTCTTCAAGCCAGCATTTGGCTGCCCAGTGAACGATAACAAGATTTAATAGCTGCAGTGTAGCTATATTGCATTTGGATGGGTTCCATCCTTCTGTTGTAATAAACGTCTGCTTTACAATGAGCTCTTAAATTCTATAAGTGACGTCAAATTGTATCTAATAATGGAAAAAAGATTAAGTTCTGTAAACCCGACTCGCCCGCTGCCTGCGCCTTTCTTCTCGAGCAGCGTTTGGTCCTCGGCGCATTGAGCTGCTGTCTGCGCGTTGTGAGTTTGTCCCCAGGCTTGTCCCCGTGCGCTGCCGTTTTCCTCCTCCTCCTCCTCATCCTCTGTCGCTGCCGGCAGCCCGGGCTACGTCCCGGCACGGCCGGGGAGTTTGGGTGCCCGGAGCCGCGGGCCGCGAGCCATTACAACACGAGCAAGTTTCCATCTCGCAGTGAGATCTCCTACATGCAGTTGTGCAGCTGTGCAAGCATCCACATACAAACCTTAATTTTAAACAGATGCAGCAGGCTGGATGTCTGATCGCGACGCAGTATTACAAAGAACGCACTACTTATTGACATGGTACCCTTTAAGTAGTAATGGTGCAAACGGTACATTTTTAAGGTGCTTTAAGTCTTTCTCTTGACTTTTCAAGGCTTTATCGGTTGTATTTTTATCTGCTTGGCTGTCAGGCAGCAGATCGGGCTGATACAACACTCAGCTCTATCGCATGTGCACTGAATAACTGAGAGGAGGGGATGACGCGCTTCTTAAAATAAGAGTTTTCAGGTTTAGTAAAGAATGAATATTATTGAAATGAATTAGTGAATCATTGTAGCCACAAATTACTAAATAGAAATTTTGAGCATTCTAAACTTGAATATGGGCTGGAAAATGGCCTGTTGCCTGCTCAGAAGAAACCCCTTCTGGGTGGGAGGAGAAGGGAATGGTCAAGTACAAACACTCAATATTCATCTACTTAGAAAACACAAATTATGGGGGTTTTCCCCTTGCCCTTCATGTAATTGCCCGTGTGGCTGGAGGAGATGGTGCTGCTCCAGCTTGGTGGTGCATCCAGGTGGAGATGGGGATGCTGTGGACTAACCCCATGGGAGCTTCCCTGGGAGCTGCTGCTGTGGGGGCTGCCGGCCGGGAGCCCGGGCTGGCCTGGGGGCCGTGAAGGGGCTGGGGGTGTTTGATGTGGAAGAGGAGGCGCTGGGGCCGAGCGGCGGAGCAGGGCAGCAGCGACGCTCCGGGGGACGAGGCAGAGCGGGATTGCGCCGGGGCCAGGGAGGAGGATGCCGCATTAATCAAGACGCGAGCATCGAGGCTGCCTGCGCAAAAGTGCTGACTCTGGCTCCTAGGAATCTGCTTTACGTTTATGCTGCCTTTCCAACGCCACAAATAAATCGGAGCGCGATACGTCTGCACCCCGAGCCGCCTTGGGAGGCCACCGAGCTCCCTCCAAGGAGCCTGGCCAGGCAGGGACCATGGGCAGCCCTTGAGCCCGTCGCTTCGCCCAAGCCCAAACACTCTGGACGCTTGGGACCAGCTCTTAAAAACGTCTTCATCCGAGGAGGCACCTGTTGGGGCAAAGGAGATGTAAGGAGCCTGAAGGAAGCCGGTAGGTGGGGTGTCCAGGTCCTGCCTTTGCTCGTCCTCTTGTTGTCACCTGCTGGGCTTGGGCTTCTCGGTGCTTTTTATTACCCCTCTCTCATTCCTCAGCTCTGAGGGGGTATTCCAAGGAGCGCTGTTCAGGAGGGGAGCGCTGGGTATGGATCTTCACTCGTTAGTGTGATCTTTCCTACGAGAGACCTCGCTCAACTCGAGGCAGCAGCAGCCCCGGGCAGGCAGCGGTTGATGGAACCAGGGCGCGCGGGCCCGGGGCTGGCGCCGGCCTCCGCGTTCCTTCCTGGGGCAAATCTCCTGAGTTTCTAATAGCACAAAACGAAGTGAGGGAGGAGAGAGCTAATTACCCTTGCCGTCTGCTTCCCGGGCTTTATTCCCCCCGCATGGAATCCATGAGATAGCAGCCCTGAGGCAGGGATTCGTTGCTGCCGTGGCGGTTTTGGCCTGTGCGGGGGGCGCGAGCTCATCCGGGAGCCATGGAAGGGGCGGCTGGGAGAGCCGCAAGGGCAGAGCTGGGAGCGGAGCAGTAACGGGGCCGGCTCTGCAGTGCAGTGCCAGGCTGTCGGGGCCGGCCAGAGTGTACAGTTCAGATGCCCTTAATGCATTAATTGTGTTAATTACGCTATGTCAGTTGACATCAGTCCTTTGCCACCTCGTTTAGCAATAGGGATGCTGACCTGGGCCTCCCAACGGGCCTGCCCCAAGCACCGGGCCTGTCAGGTGAGTTTGGTGCTTTGCTGCCTCTCTTGATCTTGTCACTTCTGCTGATCCTCGTAGTTTCCCCCCTGCTTTAAAAAAGACTTTAAGAAGTCCGGAAATGTCCCGTGTCACCGTTGCTTCCCTCCGGCCGCGGGGCATGCGCTGCCCTGGCTCTTCACCAGGCCCGGCGCTGCCGCAGCAGTCGCCAGGATTTGGCAAAGCTGCGGCAGGTCCAGTGCGGCGCTCCGAGGCCGAGCTGGAGCTGGCAGCCTCTCTGCAGTGTTTCTTGGGCAGAACCACGAGCGATCTGGGTGTGCTTGGGTCCCTGTGAAGTCCCAGCCCTTGCAAAGGGGTTGCGGTCCATCCCCGTTGATGTGGTGTTCCCCAGGCCCCCAATCTGGGTAATGCCCGTGGTTTAAAAGATCAGACTAGCTTTAAAAGGAGGGGAAAAAGCCAGGCGGGTGGGTGAAGCAAATCCAGTGGGGCTGTGTGAGCTCCCTGTTGGTGCCTCCACAGGGTCAGGCCACTCATCCGAGGTGCCCGGTGTGCCGGCCCGCTCCGTCCTTGTCCGTGTGTTCCCGAGGGAGCCCGAGCGGGAGGGTGAGCAGGAGGGTGACCCGTCGCTTTCCTGGTGTTTCACCCTGTAATGAAATAAGCTCTCTTGCGTCTTGGCCATCTGAATTATTACCTGCGTGACACTTCATTATAAACACGTTTTTTTTTCATCTTGGCACTGCTTTCCTGCCATTTTATTGCCTTTAAGCTTCTATTTTTGTTTTACTCATCTCCCTCAATCGATTGAAATATCCTGTTTTTAGCGAGCAGCCAAGGCAGATGTGGCTGGGGGCAAAAAAAAGCAGGAATGATTCTGCTGTAGATCATTTGCAGGGAGGAAGGGGACGGGTTTTAAACCCAACTTTCCAGCTTGCTGGGGTGGAACGAATGGCTTGAGAGCCGCTGGTAGCGAGAGGTGGGATGGGATCCTGGAGCTCCACGGCCTGTGCTCGGCATCTATCCCCCGCTCTGCTCGTCGTCCTTTGCAGTGGCACTAATTAAAACCCATCTAATGAGATTATCCCCGCTTGTTCTGGAGGATTAGTTTGATGGAAGGCATCAAACCTTTTTGGTTTTTTGTTTCCTCTCCACACACACGTAGATGCCTTTGACATCAATAAAATGAATTTTTAAATAAATTGTTTAGATGCTGCAGCACCAGAGAGCAGCTGCTATTCCAGGAGGGTCATTCCAGAGATAAGAAGCTGCCTTCTTCCAGGTCTGGACCTGGGCTATAAACTCAAATTGTGTCCCTGGTTACTTCATGACTGTGGATTTGATTGATTGATTTATTTCCTGGGTATGCTCAGTTCTGTAGAGGGCTGGGGAGGTGCCATGCCCGTGCAAAGTGGCACTGGGACCTCCTGATGGCAGTGGTGGACTTCCCTGGGTCCCAGGTATCGGCATCATCCGCTGGATCGGCTGGTTGGCTTTATTCTGTATTGGGTGCGTTTTTTTGTTTGTTTTCCTCAAACAAACTGTATTGGCTTCAGCAGCTCTGCTTCAAGAGTGCCAATACGCAGGGACAGCAGCGAGTTTGGGGCATGCAGAGGAGCTGGATTCCTGCTTTACACACTAGAAAAGAGGCCACCAAATGATGCTGTACTGGGGCTTCACTTGTGTCCTTGCTGCTCTTATTTTTCCCCTCCCTTAATTTTTTTTGACACCTTTATCCACATCCTAAGGGGAGTCTTCAGGATGTTTGAAAAGTTACTGTTTTAACCCTGGGCGTAGTAAATGCAGGGCTCTCTTAAGCAACAATTTTCTTAAATTGCCTTCAGGCTGGGTATGATGGGTTGTTCTGTGTTGCAGTTTGATCTTCAGCTGCGCTCTCCTGCTACGGGAGTATAAAAATGAGCTGGCGTTCACATCAATGGCAAGATGAATTAGCCTGTAGACTTCTTAGGAGGTGAGAGAGAGCGAATCCCAACAAGACACTAATTCAGAGTAAAGCAAGGAAGAAAAATGCATTTCCACAGACCACATTGTTAGAATCCGATTAATGCTCTCCATCGCGGCGTTCCTGAGAGCCAAGGAAGTCTAATTACTGCCTTTTCTCCCAGCTGAACAAAAGTGAGAGGGTAAAATCTGATACCTTTTAGCGGGTGCATCTCTGGCACGTTGCTGGCATTGGAGAGGGACGCTATTGTCCAGCAACAAAAACTCTGCCTATTGATTTTGAGCTTTTGTCGCATCTCTCCCGAGGAGATGCCAATGAAAGCCTGTTGGATACACAGCAAGGGTCAGGAGGGCAACTCGTCCAAAAGGTTCTGTTCAATTTGATACCGACCGTCTGGTTACACTCAAGGCATCCTTTCTCCTATTAAGCCTATTACTATTAGGAGAAATTAATGTTTTCTTGGTAAGATAATCTCCAAGAAGAATGGAAAATAACTGCTTTTCTCTCCCCTTTTTCTTCCAGGGAACTTCCATGCATTTGCTTACTGTTATTTAAGGAGCCTTTGCTAGACGCTTTTGGATCGTGCTTCTGAGCGGACAAAAGATTTTGCCTTCAAAATGCTCATAAAGGAATATCGCATTCCTCTTCCGAGGAGCGTGGAAGAGTATCGCATTGCCCAGCTCTACATGATCCAGGTGAGTAACGCGTCCGTCCATCGCGTGGGTGGGTGCAGGCTCATGTGGAAGAGGGAAGTACGTGTTGCTGAAGAACTGGGTGTTCTAAATTTGAGGTTTTCTGAGGAAACTTACTCGGGAAATGGCATCTCACGGACAGGCCACCCCTATGGAGGGAGGCAGTGAGGCCAAGCAGGTGCCACCTAACCAGGTACCTCCTTACACAGCCCTGGCTGCAAGCAAAAGCTCTTACTGTTCTGTCGGGAAGAAGCAGTCTAGTGTAAATTTTAAAAGTTAAACCAAAGGCATAACTTGAGTTCAAAAATAAAAATATCTAGGGGTAATACTTTGCTTATGCAGTGCTATGAAAGAAATACTGATCAGTTTAGGTGCAGAACGTAGATTAATTTTAATATGCTTCTGAGCTCTGATGGGATTTTTTTTAAAATTCCCTGTCCTCAGTAAAGCATTAATTAAAATGTTGGTTTTTGTAACTCAAATCCTGCATGCCCATCTTTTCCAGTGTTTGAAATACAAACAGAAGGTTTTTTTAAAAAGGAAATCTGAAAGATTTTCTTAAAAGGAATTTGAAGTATTATTTCTTTGTCCCACACACTAAAGGAAATTTAAAATGGCCCTAATCCAGCAAAACACAAGTCTAATATTTAGTTTTAATAGAACTCCATTTCCTTTGGTGACACAAAGCAATGCTAGCAAAGTCACCTTTGGTTTAAGGTCTAAAATGAATTATAAATAAAACTAAGGAAGAAAAATAAAACAAAGCAGTAAAGGCACCATTCCTCCCCGCTTT